GCGCGCGCCATGCCCGCGCCGCGTCACCGCGCGCCGCTCATGCTGCGCCACTGCACTGCACGCACGCTCACTACACACTGCGCCCCGCTGTTTGTCTAATTCATAAGCTCGATCGATGCTTATCACTGCCCACTGACTGATCGAGACCGATATCGCTCACGTCGTGTGTCACCGCGGACGTCGGGCACGTGATCTCGCTGCGAGGGCGCGCGGCGTACTGGCGGAGTGTCGTGACGTAAGGACGGGACAGCGCCACGGCGCGCCCCGCACTCCGCCGCCGCGCGCCGCCGTCTTGTCTGCCGGCTACGAGCATTGGATGGAGCTTTACGAAAGTTCGCCACGAAATCGCTCAGGCCTTAAATAGAAGACGAATAGTTCCTACGCCTACCTATCTGGTAGAATCAGGATAAATAGCAGTCGGTGTAAGAGCCGCGACGTCTTTACTGTTAGTGGCTGCCACGCATTCCGTCGTATGGTAGTATGGCGGTGTGGTCTTACGATGTTCAGTTCTTGACTGAGTCCAATGTAATCTTTACATACAGGCATCCTTTCTATGCATTTAGAAAATATTATGTAATATTTCGGATCACAACAATGAACAAACCTCCATTTGGAAATCACATAGGTACTACATACGTATAATACAACATTATCCATAACAGCACAGACAAATGCCAACGTGACTTCTTGCGAGCTATAACTTGTACTGTTTGCGTTTACATGCGGTACCTATGTAAGCACTATATTTATGGATTGTCAGTATGCATATGTGAGCACCATGTTAGACTATACGATTTTTATGTTACTTAGTTTAGTAAGTTTTGTAATTAGTATAATGTGTCAAGCGTGTCTTTGCATTGTTCTCACATACATAGGTATACGTACAGTACTGAAATATGTATCAGAGACATTGTAGAACAACTAGAACATACTTTTTTAAAAAGAGTGACGAATGGTGTTTCTTGCTCGTCGAAAATGTCGATTCGAGTGGAGCAACGAGCAAGAAACTCCATTCGTTACTCTTTTAAAAAAAAGTCTGTTTTACATTGCTCTGATACATATTCCAATATTGTACACACAAATAACAGAACATACTAAAATAGAAAAAAACCAAGCCAAGAGAAAACAAATATCTTAAGTCTGACATGGTCCTCACATATGTATACTGACAATCCATACAAAATAGTGCTTCTATACAAGAAAAAAAAATAAAAAATAAACTCTTGTTTAAATAAAGAAAGAAATGCTCGATGCCACAAGAAAAATAGATTGCCTTCATCGGAATCAAAGTGTTAAATTACCTACTATCGTAATCTGAACTAGGTACTGACTACATTTGAGTATTGTCCAGTGGAGCCGAACCAAAACGCTGCCAAGCATTCCTATCCTCAAGATAATCAATCACCCTGTAGTAAGCTCGTTTACATAATTCGCGCTTAAACTGTCAAACACCAAGCGGTCACCGGTGACCGCAACCTATTGTTCTATAATTGTGTCTACAAAACCGGTACTCGACGAGTTAATATATGTTTTAAATTTACTTTCATTGAGATCTAGTATGCTATTTGGTATTTTATTATAGCATTTAATGCCTAACCCCATAAAGGATTTCTGTACCTTGGACAGTCTGAATTGCAGTACAGCTAACTTATTCTTGCCTCTAGAGGTAGTATTAAGATTGTGTCTATCGCTTCTTTTTTCGAACAATTGCCTATTCTTTCTTACATACATTATATTTTCATATATATATTGACAGGGCACCGTTAAGATATTTATCGTTTTAAACAATTCTCTTAGCGATTCGCAACGGCGTAAGTTATATATTGCTCGGATAGCCCGCTTTTGAAGAATAAAAATTGATTCTATTTCTGCAGCTCGACCCCACAACAAAATGCCGTACGACATAATGCTGTGGAAGTAACTAAAATAGACAAGCCTTGCCGTATCTACGTCCGTGAGACCCCACCGTACCGAGACAGAATAAGGTGGGATACAGTAACGGGTATCCCGGATATATCCCATATATTTTTAAATACCTACATAAATCTGAAGTATTTGTTTTGTATCCGCTCGAGCATTGTTTTATATTTTACTAGCTTTTGCCTGCGACTTCGTTCGCGTGGAATAGTGACTTCCGGCAGATTTTTGGTTTTATCCACATAGATCCCGATCTCGCGGGATCTCTTCAAAAATGAAATGTGGAAGATATTATAGGGAACTCTTCAAAAATCAACATAATGAGCTCTGCGTTTGAATTGAAGATATGTATACTCACTTAGGGCATTAAAGCCTTTATTGCCGATCGAAAAAGGCGAAAATGTTATCTTTCCCTTATTTTAAAAATTTTTTTGGTTTGCCATTTCAGAAAAAAAGACTGTTTCTCCCTTGACAAATTTTTTAATATTAGGTTTCTTACACCAAAGACATTTCTGTATACCACGTTTTTAGTTTTGCCATCCTTTGCAAAAATATATAGGTCTTGTGGTTTTGACACTCTTGAGCACGCAACGTAGAGTTGTCCATGGGAGAAACAATCTTTTTCAAGATGTACTCCCGCAACTTTAAGCGTTTCCCTTGGGCTTTATTTATGGTCATTGCAAACGCAGTTTTCAGCGGAAACTGAACTCTTTTGAATTGGAATGGCAAATCAGTTGGAATGATGGGAATACGGGGAATAATTACAGTTTCGCCTTTTGCTATTCCCGTCATAATAACGGCTTTAATGACATTCCGTCCTAAATAGGTTACTTGTAACCGTGTGCCGTTACATAGCCTTGGTGGATCTAGGTTTCTCACAAGCATCACAGGAACTCCACCTTTCAGCCTCAACTTGTGAGAAGGCACTCCTGATAACTCTAAGGAGTTGAGAAACTCTGTTGGGTAAGATGTCACTTGCTCGGTATCCACGACGTTATCTACTGATAGATACTCAATGACATCTCCCTCTACGTCAGACATAATTTGGTCATTTATCCGGCCTACTATTCCATTTGTTGGCGCCAATATTGCCCTTTCGCATAACCATTCCCGATTTTCAATATTAGCGCGTAAGTAAATCCGGATAGACACTATTTTTTAAATTGTATGTGCTATCCACAATTTGGCATAATTCGTTGCTCAGCGTGATCATACTCTCGGAGTCGGTAGGCATACGATCCTCGCCGATCTTCAAAAGAGCAGCAGCATACTGCCCGGCTTGACAATCATTATGGAGTAATACTCGCATATTCCTCGACAGTGAAACCTTTTTCACATGTGTCCATAGCACAGATGCTTTTAAACAGGCAATGCATATACATAACATATTATTCACTACACTTTTCCACTGTTCACAATATTTCGTTTCTTACACAATGATCTGCTGGGTGGCCGGCCCGTGTGGGACCGGGTCACCTCGGCGAACCAAGGTTGTCGGCAGTTCCTGTAGCTCCCTTCGCATATATCGACCGTAATTTGTTTTGCATTGTCTCCAGAAAAGGTATCCAATGACGGTTATAATGAAGAGCAAAATACAGAGCACATACAGTTCTACTCGCTCTATCCACAGGTTCTTAGTTATGGTTGTTGCAGCAGCGCTGTTACCGGCGCCGTTTTGAGCAATCAGTACTTTTCCTTCTGTAAAGCTACTTTGAGTTTTTCCCATGATGATGTTATATTAAAATGCGTTGCTTACTGAATGTGTTTACGACACGAAGCGTACGACAGGTTTGATGATGCGTCCCGATCTCGTAACTAGCGGTGCATTGTTTACATGATCTGTGTCCTTTTTTGGTGCCTCTCTAGAATATGCAGTGTCAGGCATAAAATCTGGCTTCAATCGATCTATACTAACGCATTTCTCTGTATCTGCTTGCAATATTTTATAATATTTCTCATGCTTTTCTATTACCTTGTACGGACCTGTATAGGGTGGCTAAAGGTTTTCTTACTTTGTCTTCGCGTATAAATACATGAGAGCAGTTTTTTAAGTCAGCATGAATAAAAACATTGCTTTGCTTCGGATCTCTCTTGGGGACTGCCGATAATTTTGATATTTTTCTTCGTAATTCTTGAACAAAACAATCGTTGTCGTATACGTTTTGTGTATTCGGTTCGAAAAAGTCACTGGGCTATCTAATAACTTCTCCATACACCAACTCGGCGGCACTGATTTGGGTGTCGTCTCGTAAACTAGTTCTTAACCCAAGTAACACTGTTGGTAGTTCTGAAACCCAGTCGCTTGTATTTCCTCTGCACATAAGGGCTGATTTGAGGATACGGTGCCATCTTTCGATCATTCCATTCGACTGCGGATGGTAAGCGCATGTTCGTATACGTGAAGTTAGGTTAGGTTTTTTTTTTTTTTTTTTTCAGCAGGAGGGGAAATCCTCATGGAGACTCACACCTCCCCACGAATAG